AACCAGGACAATGTCATGAATCTGTGACTTGTCTAGTTTGGCATCTCGAAGGGCTTTCTCTACAGGGTCCAGAGTGCCACGGAACAGATCAGCATTCAATTCTTCAAATCGGGCACGGGTAATGGAGGTATAGAAGTCAATTCCTTCGTAAAGTGACTCAATCTCAATACTGGCCTGGGTGCTGGAAGACGGGGCACGCTCAGCACGTTCACAAGCAGTACGGAGGCGTCGGACAGCTCTCTTATTCTCACTGATGTCCTTCTTATGCTTGCGCTTGAATTCGGCAATAAAATGGTTGACCATTTTATTATCAAAGTCTTCTCCACCTAAGTGTGTATCTCCGGCTGTAAATTTGACCTCAAAGATTCCATTCTCAATAGTGAAGATTGACACATCAAAAGTGCCACCTCCCAGGTCAAAGATCAGCACATTTATTTCTGCTCCAACCTTTTTGTCTAAGCCATAAGCAATAGCAGCAGCAGTGGGTTCATTTATAATCCTAAGAACATTGAGACCAGCAATGGTTCCAGCATCTTTGGTAGCCTGATGCTGAGAGTCATTAAAGTAAGCTGGGACTGTGACCACAGCATCGGTAACAGTCTTTCCAAGATAGGCTTCTGTGATTTCCTTCACCTTAGTCAGAATCATAGATGTCACCCCCTCAGGATAGAAACTTTTTGTCTCTCCCTTGTATTCTACTTGGACCTTGGGCCTGCCTGCATCATCCACCACCATGAAGGGCCAATGCTTCATATCAGACTGGACAACAGCATCATCAAATCTGCGCCCAATCAGACATTTGGCATCAAAAACCCTGTTGGGGCCGGGCGCTGTGGCTCACGCCTGTAATCCTAGCTCTTGGGAGGCCGAGGCGGGCGGATTGCTCAAGGTCAGGAGTTCAAAACCAGCCTGAGCAAGAGCGAGACCCCGTCTCTACTATAAATAGAAAGAAATTAATTGGCCAACTGATATATATATGTAAAAAATTAGCCGGGCATGGTGGCGCATGCCTGTAGTCCCAGCTGCTCGGGAGGCTGAGGCAGAAGGATCACTCAAGCCCAGGAGTTTGAGGTTGCTGTGAGCTAGGCTGACGCCACGGCACTCACTCTAGCCTGGACAACAAAGTGAGACTCTGTCTCAAAAAAAAAAAAAAAAAACCCTGTTGGTGGGATTCATTGCAACTTGATTCTTTGCAGCAGCATCAATCAATCATTCGCTATCAGTAAAGGCAATGTAGCTTGTGGTTCGGTTTCCCTGATCATTGGCAATTATCTCTACCTTTCCATGCTGGAAGACACCCACACAAGAGTAGGTGGTGCCAAGATCAATACCAACTGCAGGTCCCTTAGACATGGTTGGCTTGCGAAGACCACACAGAAAACCCCAAAGCTGCCGCCTCATTCAATGAGCTGGCTCGAGACTTTAAAATGAAGTCTGCCTCCCACCTTTGTTCCTTGGCCACCCAGTTCCCCAGCCAAGAGGCAAACAATAGACAGGTTTTAAATTTATTTTTCAATAGGCATTTGATGCATATATAAGCCAATATGAATATATCCTCCTTTTCTCCCCCACCCCTATTTTTTATCCACAACCTAGCATGTGACATACAATGTTCTGCACTTTGCTTTTTCTGTTTAACAACATACCTCAGAAATTTTCCCAAATTAGCACATCAAGAGCTTCCTTGACACTGTTTTATGGCTGTGTAGTGTTCTAGTATATGAATGAATCCTAATTTATTTACCCAATCTCTGGGGGTCAGATAGTGAGGGTGTTTCTGGTCTTTTAGTACCATATTCAATGCTGCAATAAACAGCCTGTTCAGACAGAATGTCATATACATGAGTGTATCTGTGGGAGAAATCCCTAGAAGAATTGCTGGGTCAAAGGGTAACATATATATGTAATTTTGATAGATACTTCTAGATTGTTCTCCAAAGAAGTTGCATCAATTTACACTCCTGCCAGCAATGTACGAAGGTGCCAATTCTCCACACCCTTTGTCAATCTAATAGGCAAAAACTTTCAATGTACTTTGTTTTGGACCACTCTGCTCATGCATGTGGCCGAGTATTAGCTATTTATGTTTAAGGCCCTTTGTGTGCTTGTTTTTTTGTCTGTGTGTGTTTTTTATCCTCTGCTTACTTTTTTGTATATGTGTTCTTGGTATTTTTCTAATCGATTTATAGTAGCTCTTTATATATTAGGAGAACTCGTTATATGAGCTGCAGATAATTTCCCCAGTGTGATATTCCTTTTGAACTTGCTTTGGGATATTGCTCAGCAGAACTATCTATTTTTCTATAGTCAAATTTATCAGTCTTTGCTTTTATGGTTCCTAGGTTTTGTGTCTTGTACAGAAAGGAACAGGACCCCCACCCCCATCCGCACACCTTTTTTTGTCAGTACAAGCTTACAATGTCTTGCTGGGTTCTGTAAGGAACAGGAAAACTCCTGCTCTCCAAGAGCTCCCAATTTTAGGGAGACACAGAATAAAGTGACGATCACAACTCTGCTGTCATAAACAGGAGGGGGCACAATGGGAACCTGGGCGAGGCACCCAGTCCAGTCTGCACAGCCAGGGAAAGCTTTCTAAGGGAGGCGGCACATAGGTGCATCCAGAGCCACATACAGGAATCAGCCTGTGCAAAGGCAAGAGGCAAGGAGCAACATGACTTGTTCAAGACTGTCCAGTCTGGCAAGAGGACAGGGAGTCCACAGGGTTGGTGTGGGGCTAGAGGGGAGCAGAGGCCAGACCACCGAGGGCTGGTGTGTATTGCCCAGGAGTCAGAGCCTGAGCCAGAGGCAGTGTGGGCACAGCAGTGGGACTCTGCAGCCACATGGAGGAAGAACGAGAGACAGCCCCTGGTGGAGGCGGGGCCCTGGCTCGAGGCTTCTGTCCCTTGAAGTACAAGCTGCCAAATCAGAGTATCCATTTCAGACCTAAATGTTCTTTTCTGTAAAACTTCTAGAAGTCTATAAAAATCATCAGGGAAGCTAGCATCCTCTCTGAAAAACATTTCTACCCGAGATGATGACAACTCTAAGAGCATGGACCCTTAGTAAGCCATGGTTGTCACTCCTCATCAGCACCCCACTGGCAGGTGGGGCCAGGTAAACACAACTGCCTACACCTCTTAGCTCTAGTCTAGCTCAGGGGACACCAGGGGTCTTCAGGCCAAGCCCATGCCCATTCATCAAGACCCCCACTCAAATTGGGCAGCAGAGACACAGGACTGCGTGGGTGGGAGAGGGAGTGGCAGGCCCCAGCAACGGGCCTGGACCGGAGATACCTCTTTCCTTCCAGCCGACAAGGCTCGGTCCTGCTGAGTAGCCACAGCTGTTCTCAGAGCTATGAGACAGGGGCCCATGACATTCTCTTCTCCAGTGGCCTTTCAGGCGTTTTGTGGCTGGTCTCCCTGGGCCACTGTCTTCCCTTAAGTGCCCAGCACGGAGGTACTGGGGCATGATTGGTACTCAGCGTAGCAGTCTCTGTTGAAATTGGACAGTCTCCCCATTTATTGCAGGTCACTGAGGGAGAAGAGAGGTGATGTGGACAGGATAGAAGACAAAACCGTGCGAACTCGACTCTGGGATTGTCTCTGGATGTCAGTCTCCAGGCTCCTCCCAGGCCCACCCCTGAACCAGCCACAGAGATCGGTTCTTTTTTTTTTTTTTTTTTTTTTGAGACAGAGTCTCACCCTTTGCCTGGTGTACAGTGCCATGGCATCAGCCTAGCTCACACCAACCTCAAACTCCTGGGCTCAAGCAATCCTTCTGCCTCAGCCTGCCGAGTAACTGGGACCACAGGCATACACCACCATGTTCGGCTAATTTTTTCTATATATTTTTAGTTGGCCAATTAATTTCTTTCAATTTATAGTAGAGACGGGGTCTCGCTCTTGCTCGGGCTGGTTTTGGACTCCTGACCTTGAGCGATCCTCCTGCCTTGGCCTCCCAGAGTGCTAGGATTACAGGCGTGAGCTACCGCGCCCTGCCAAGAATGGTTCTCGATGCCACCATGTTAGTCCTACTTTCTTTAGTGCCCTAAGGCAATTTTATCCCAAAGGGTCCCTTAAATCAAGTGCTGTGGAGATTAAGGCTCTTGGAGGCTGCTGGAGCCTTGGTTCCAGCTAGCAGGCTTCCTGGTCCCAAGACACCTCTACCCTCAGTGCTCACAGGGCACGCACGGGACACCCCCTGTGCCTGCCCTGGAAGCCAGGAGGGCAGCAAGCCAGCCCCACCCTGAGCCCCAAATAGGCAAACAAGCCCCTCTCCACAGCAGCCAAACAGCAACTAGATCAAAAGCAGGGCACAGAGGGTTTCTAGGCCAGGGGGCATGGTCTGTCTGGATCTACCTCCCCTGTTCACCTGTACTGTGGGAGGGCGGGGGGCCAGGGAGGGGGGCCCAGACACCCACGCACCCCCCTCAGGTGCAGCAAAGCTGGAAGGATGAGGATAACAGAGGAAACCGGGAAACAAGTAAGGGGCTTGGGACCAAGGGCAGGTTCAACCCTGGAGTGCTTATCTGTCACTTGCATAAAAGGCCATGTCAGCTTAGGGTCCAGGATTCCATTTTTCCCCAAATGAGATAGGCTATTTCAATAAATGTTTTGAAAGCTCCCTGACATATATACATGTCCAGCTTCAACTTCCATTTATTGGACATTTACTATGTTCCAGCCACTCAGTAGGGTGGGTATTTTGCACACATAATCTCACTGAATCCTCTTAACAAATGCCATTAGGCTAATAATGTACATGAGGAGTGAGGGTCAGGAAGGCTAAGCCCTGAGCCAAGGGCCCACTGCTAGTAAGAGGCAGAGCTGAGATTTGAACTAGGGGCTGTCTGGCTTCAGAGTTTGTCCTTAACCACCATGTTCTACGAGGACTAAGGAGTGCTGGTCAGTCGTCAGCCCGGACCCTTCCCCAGCCTCACCTAGCAACACCCCTGATCTCTGAGACCACAGACAGGCTGCAAAGGAAGGATGGAGTCTCCTAAATGGGCATGGGTATTTTCTTTATTTCTTAGCACCCCAATCTCATGGCATGGTCTGCACAAAGCCTCAGAGTCCTGCCAGTTCACAGGCTTCTCTGACTCTGGTAGCTGAGCACCCCACCAAAGGGCCAAAGCTCTCACAGCTCAGCCAGGGCTCTCCAGTTGTGGCACTTCTGGACGAGACGTAGAAGTGAGGTTTCCCATCTCTCAGTCCTCCTCCCGTGAGGACAGCATGGCAGCTTGCTCACCTGACTTGCTGTACCCATCGCAGGAAAAGGTGGGCAGGGACTCCATGCAGTAGCATCTCCTGGTTGAGAGAAGCTGGGAGCTGGGCCGTTGGTGCAGTTTAACCTGCAGCAGGTCCAGCCCCTGGGAGGCTCAGAGCAGACCCAGGTCAGGTCCCCACTCAGCAAAGGGAGGAACCCTCATCATATGGTACCAGTGTCCATCTTCTTCACCAGCTTGGCTTGAACCCACGCTGAGTACAAAGGGACACACGTGACAGAAATCCCAGTTCAATTCTGCTGGAAGCCACCGTGCTGGGAGAGGACTTCTTTCACTTTGTCCACAATGGTCCCCACCTCAGCCATGGCCCCCAGACCTGGGAGGAAAGTTCTGCTGTGGCCAGACGGGCCAATAGTGCCTGCAGCCCTCAGACCCCCGCTTACTGCCTCCGAATGCTCCACCCCAGAGTCCGAGGCCTGAGAAGGCCCAGTCTGTCTCTGCCTGTGCCAGACCCGTGAAACCCAACCGAGACCTAGGCCAGGCACTGGCAGCCATTCCTGCAGCCGGCATTAATTGCGTGTGGGCTACATGCCGGGGACTGTAGCAGGCACTTCGTACACGCTACCCCATTTTAGTGGGGATTGTGATTCCCATTTTCCAGCTGAAAAAGCTAAGCTCAGAGGCGGTTGGTTTGCCAAATCTACAACAGGCCGAGAATTGAACCCAAATGTGACCCCAAAGCTGAGCCCCTTCTGGGGCCCTGGGCTGTGAGCCTGGCAAGATGCCCACCTTGGTCTCCACACACCAGCTTCTTGGCCACACAGGGGATCTCAACGTAGCCGAAGGCCTTGAGCTGGTCCACCTGCTGCGCGGTGATGGGGTGCTCCCACATGGCGGTGTTCATCGCCGGGCAAAAGAACAGGGGCTTGCTGCGGTCCCAGGCCCGGATGACACAGGTCTGTGAAGAAGGGCAGGGGGAGCAGGGTGTCCTGCTGCTCTGTGTGCCATCCCTCTCCAGCCCTCCAGGCTCGTGGCCAGCCCAGCTATGGGCTTGGGGTGACCACACAGCCTGTCTGTGGGGAGCTGTCTCATGTCCCCCTGGCTGTGTCTCCTTGCCCCTCTCTGCCTCCCCACTGGCTCTGGAACAGATAACTGATCTTGAGCACACAGGAGGTGCTCAACCAATGCTCACAATGGCCTAGCCAGCTCCAGCAAGTCTCCCCGCCCGTGTGGAAAGGTCTCCCTGTACCCAAGCCTAAGCCTTCCCTGCATGGACTCTCACCTCTCCAGTCAAGGCTACCGCGGGGAGAAGCAGGCTTTGCAGTTCTTAGAAAGCTAAGAACGAGGAACCAGACTGCTCCTCAGATGGGGCCCATGCACCCAGCACCGGCTGCACTGCTAGGCCAACTTCAAAGCCTGGCAGTGAAAAATGTGACAGGAACTTTCTCATATATATGACCTCGTGAACCCACATGGTGACCCTATAAAGAAGGTGCCATTCCATTTCACAGATGGAAGCTGCAGTTCCCTGAGAGGTGAGCAGTGACCCAAGGTCACCCCCAGATAATACTACCTGTGCAATCTGCGCTGCTCTGCACAGCCTGCCAGCCCCAAATCCGGGCCATCGCACCAAGTCACACACCTGAGCAGCTACGAAACAGAGTCCTTAGAGCTGTGGGCTTTGGAATCAACGTAGCCCTGAGCCCAAATCCTGGCTGTGCTGTCTACTGCCAGCCGTGAGAACCTGGACAGGTTGCTGAATCCTGGGGCCTCAGCTTCCTCTCTGCAAAGGCCCCTCCCTGGGTGCTGGGAGGACTGAGGTGAGAATGTTCAGCACCAGGCCCGGCGCAAAGGACAGGCTTCGGAACAGTGGCTCCTGCTCTTGCCACAGGCACAGGCTCCTGGGCCGGGCTGCCTGGGGAGAAAGAAGCGCCTGTGCTCTGACTGCCCTAGACACCCCTCCAGGGCCGTGAGCCCTCGGGACGGGACGACGGTGGCTGGAACCCCTCCTGTGAAATGGGCCCATCTGGGAAAAGAGCGGGGCAGTCCAGAGAGCAATGCCAGATCACGACAGGCCTGTGCCTGCCCCCTTGGTGCCCTGCCCTCTGCTGGGGACAGGGAGGAAGTGGGCAGCGGACAGCCTCAGGATCTGGCTGCTTGGGTCATCCCAGACAGCAGCGTTGGTTTCCCATCAAGCCCTCTCGATGCAGCCACCGGGCTATGAGTGGGCAGTTTCAGTCACAGTTCCTCTTGGCCCTGTGCCACCTGCCACTTTTGCAGAAGCCAAGAGCATACCTAGAAGAGCCCCTTGACTGTGCGTGGGGTGGGGGTGAGGGCTGGGCTGGATTCTCTATGCGCCCTCAACGCAAAGCACGGCACCAGAGCAGAAAACAAGCACCTCCACCCTACGGCGTGTCTGGCCTCCCCCACACCTCACCTCAGAGCTCAGAGCTTCCTGGACAAACCACAGCTCCCTCGAACCCACCGGCAGCGGGAGGGCAGAGGAGGGCTTTGGTTCCCACAGTCACTCGCTGGGCCAGTGCTGTGCTCAGCTCCTGGGAATCTGCTCGGGCAGGAGAAGGCCTGGATCCCAGTCAGCAGCCAGACTGGGGAGGAGGGAAGCTGCCTCCTCCTTCCGGGTCTGATTGCCTTTGTAGCACAAATGAGGCACCAGGGCCTCAGCGGGCCACGGGGCAGATGAAGACAGGGCTCAGGTCCACACCTGGCATGCCACCCTCACGGCACCCCAAGTCCTGGGCCTGGAAAAGGAGAAGACCTGGCAGGGGAGGAGGCAGGCTAAGCTTCCTTGCAGGGACATAAGGAGAAACATCTTCCAAGGCAAGACACAGCCACACACCAAGGATGCTGACAGTTCAAATTTCGTAAGATCTGAGATTCCCTGAAATATCTGTTCCTTCACGTGAAACCCTTTGAGGCAAATGGTCTGCAGGGTGGTCCGAGAACATGTTCCACTGCCCAGCCAACTCTGGAGGAGGGAACCCCAGAGACTTCTTGGAGTGATGGAAGCACTGAAGGAAAGGGGAAGCAGTGCTTTCAGGGGAAGGAAAGGGACCTTGGAGGGCTGGACCAGGCCGGGACTGGACGCCGGAGGCCGGTGTGCCTATCACACTGCCGCTGCTGGCCGGCCTGGACCCCGGGTGCGACCGTGCCGCTCTCGCAGCTCCGGCCCACTTGGATGAAAGTGGCCAGGAGCCTCCCTGTGCCAGATGCCCAGTCGGCCCTGGCGCCGGCGGCTGGGAAGCCTTCTTGCTGGCACTGCTCCCGGGCCTGCCCTCTGCGCTCCCCACCCGCTCCCGGCCACACCGGCTGTGCTGCTCCTCTCCTGCTCGCCCGGCTCTCACACAAATGGCGCTTAGACCACTAGCAGATCTTCCAGGAGTGCCTTTAGAGCCCACACCAAGGATATAAGGACATTAATCTCATATCTGACCCCGAAAAATCCTGCCCCAGCTTTGTTCTTCACCTTCTTCCCCATATTACCTCTGCAAATGCCTGGCCATTTGTGAAAGTAAACTTGCCAGCTACCTCGCACACGCAGCAAATCTCTATCCAGTGCCTGCCACCTGCCCAGCACTATGTTGGGGGCGAATCAACTGTCAAAGGACAGACTGGGGTTATTTAAGGCTGGGCCACTCACCAGAGGATACTCCCTCCCCACACGCACAGTGGTCTGAGCCCCCTCCTTCCAGACTGTGCTGCGAGGCCCTCGGCACAGGCTCCCCCGTGGTAGGTGAAAACTCAATAAATGGGAGGGGGAGGGAAGAAAGGGAGAGGGAGGAAGGAGAGGAGAAGTCACACCCAGATCTTCCCAGGATGGTCACATAAACAAAGGCAGCTCCTCTTTAGGGGCACCAGCTCCCTGGAGGTCTCTTAGGCTAAGACAGTCCCCACTTTGGACTTCTGTTTCTCTCTACCGTCAGTCAACTCTCACTTCTCACCACATCTTTCTTCGCTCTTCTCCTAATATATAGAAAAACCATATCCCACCTTGTGGCTAAAGCTGAGGGAGCTACGTGTGCATGAGAGACCCAGGAAGAAAGGAACCCCCTTATCAGACGGCCCACAGGTGTGCCAGGCAGAGGGTTCCTGGCCGGGCAGCGAGGGGCAGGTGGCAGGTGGACATTCCGGACAGCAGCAGCGTGTCAGGTCCATCATCAGGACTGGTCTCCGGCCCACTTGCTGGAGGGGATGTGAGACGGGCGGGGGTGGGGCAAGGGGACTGCATTCTCCTGAGCAGACTGGGCCCACAGTAGGAGGTTTTCTTATACAAGGAAGCCCGCAGCTCAGCAACTAGGAGTGAGGCCCAGGGAGGGATGACAGCGCCAGGGAGTCACTCACAAGCAAGTTGTCACAGATGCCGCTGGCCACCTTCCCCAGAGTGTTGGCATCAAGAGGAGCCACCAGCATGAAGTCTGCCCACCTCCGCAGGTCAATGTGAAGGACAGGGTCAGAGCGGTGCTTCCATATCTGGTAGAGGGTAGGAAACGGGGTCACCAAGACAGTCACTCTCCCAGCGTGGAGGAGGGGGGTGGAGGACCAAAGCAGGCCAGGCACCATAAGTTAGGAACTTGAGTGGACCACTGACCCGCCTGCCCAAGTCCAACACCCTTCCCTCTCACAGCTAAGCTGGTGAGCACTGGCTGTGGAGCCGGCTGCCTGAGAGAAACCAGGCCTGAGGAAACAAATGCCCCTTGTCTCCCTGAGATACTCCCTTTATGGTTTGGTTTTCAAGAGAACTGACATCTGGCAGGGAACTCCTAGCCTGTCTGCTTCAGTCGGATGCTTGGGTTGTCCAAGCCAGTGGAAGGGCTCCAGGGTGGCGAGAAACGGCGGGGGTGGGGTGGGGAAGGCAGGCCAGCAGAATGTTCTAGGCAGAGAGTGTTTGGAAACGCCTGGCAGGGAACCCTGTGAGGTCCACACTCAGCGTCTGGTGCATCGGCCAGGGCCCCTCCACAGGGGAGCAGAAGTGGAGCCGTGGGAAGACAGGCGCTCCCTGACGCTGGGAGCCACGTGGACAAGGGTGGTGGGAACAGAGCTTCTCTGTGGTTTCATCAGCTCAGATAAGTACAAGGACACTCAACCTCAGGCACCAGGCCAAAGCCCAGCTCCGCCTGGGTGGGAGGGGACTGTGGGCCTTCTGCAGGCCAGCAGCTAGACAGATGTTTTCCTCATCACTTCTGCCCAAAGGGCCCTGACTGATGCTTTGAGCCCAGCCTGTCTGCTCTGGCAGCCAGACCATAGGCTGCAGGGAGGGCCATTCTGCCCTGCTGGTGGAAATGCAATGGCACTCAGCCCAGGGTCCCCCAGCACTGACCTCCCATTCGTCAGCATCGCTGTAGAGGGTGACAGGAACGTCCTGGGGGCTGTAGAAATGTTTGGCTCTCTCAGTTGTGACCACTGCTACTTCCAGCTATCACCAAGAAAAAGTAGAGGGAGAGAGAGGAAGGAAGAGAGAGACTGTTACCACCAGCCACAGGCCTGGAGGCCACATGAGGGCCTGGCAGGCAAGGGCTTTCTTTCCAGCCTGGCTCTAGCAGGGACTTTTCCTCCTTGCAGTGAGCCCATGTTTGCATAGCCACTTCCGCTGTCACCCAAAGGTCAGGCCCTCCCAGGTGTGGCTGTTTCACTTCCCTATCTGAGGGGTTGCTGAGGAATCAGTCACCGACTGTCCAGTCAGTGTATATAAAGCGGCAAGCTCCTGCCACTCAGGCAGAGTGAGGCCCGGCAGCAGAGGCGGGCGGGTGACGGGCAAGAAACTCAAGACAGCAGAGCCACAGAGGCCTTGACAGATAGGAGGCGCTGCCCAGGAAAGCTCACGGTCCCGAGTTCTGAGCCACCCCGCAGCCCTGCCCTCCGCAAGCCAAGGGAGCTGGCGCCCGGCACATCCTGTGCACCTCCAGAGCCCCATGCGGAAGCGCAGCCCCTCACCAGGCCTCGTGGGCTCAGGCTGCAGACAGGTGCCAGGAACACCAAGCCTGTGACCTACGCTCAAGGGGTGAGAATGAGGTTTGCCTCCACAGTGCCCATTTACTAATAAATTACTAATGCAAACAAGGGCACGTTTATCCTGCTGATTTATCAGAACAAACGGCTGTGCTGTGCGAGACAGCCCAGGGGAGTGTGAATGGCACTGGATGGGCTGGCCATCACTTGTGAGACAAGATTTTAAACTAACAAGCTGGCAAAGAAAAGGGGCCCAGAGGAAGTGGCTGGGAGGGAAGGGTGTAGGAAACCACATCTTTAGGGGAAACATGGAGTCAGGAGAGGACATTCATCCAGGAGAAAGAATTGTCAAGGGTGCCAAGGGCAGAATCGTGGACTAGCCAGAGCAGTGGTCATGGGCAGCAGTGTTGGAGCCAGATCCAGCCTGCAGACTCGCTGTTCGGCCTGTACAAGGTTATCAACATTTCTGAGCTAACATATACAAACTGAAAGATTTCACTTAGAAAGTCCTACTTCCCAGTTTGTTTGCTTGTTTGGTTTTTGGTGACAGAGGCTACAGTCCAATGGTGTCATGATGGCTCATTGCAACCTCTAACTCCTGGGCTTAGGTGATCCTCTTGCCTCAGCCTCCCGAGTAGCTGGGGCTACAGGTGTGTGCCACCACCCCTGGCCATTTTTTTCTATTTTTAGTAGAGACGGGGTCTTGCTCTTACTTATGCTGGTCTCAAACTCCTAAGCTCAAGCAATCCTCCTGCCTCAGCCTCCCAGAGTGCTAGGATTACAGGCACCAGCCACCGCACCTAGCCATTTTCTTTTTTTTCTTCTTCTTTTTTTTTTTTTTTTTTTTTTTTTGCTGAACACGGTGGTGGAGAATCTTCTTCTTTTTTTAATCCACAAAAAATGTTTATTAAAAAGAAAGATGAAATCAATCACTTGTAGAACAACAAAAAAAGAGTCACCTGGGTGAAGACATTACAAATGACAAATCTATTATAAGCTGCAAACCTCATCCTTACACATTTACTTCAACATTTCCTGTACATTTGGCCAAAATGTCACACTAAATTACTATTAGTACATAAATTAAAACTGAAGTTTTCTTTCATCTTGTGTATAATTCTCAGTATTTATAACTGAACTTGCTATTGGCATATGATCCATCTTAAAAAAAAAAGAAATAAATTACAAAGCAATGACATCGGCAAGAATTATTTTTTGTAATGAAAAGAAACCCTTTTCCTTATACGTAGATTAATAATTTAGTTTTTAATTTTTAATTTTTTTTTTTGAGACAGAGTCTCATTCCATTGCCCTAGGTAGAGTGCCCTAGCATCAGCCTAGCTCACAGCAACCTCAAACTCCTGGGCTCAAGCAATCCTCCTGCCTCAGCTTCCTGAGTAGCTGAGACTACAGGCATGCGCCGCCATGCCCGGCTAATTTTTTCTATATATTTTAGTTAGCCAATTAATTTCTTTCTATTTTTAGTAGAGATGGGGTCTCGCTCTTGCTCAGGCTGGGTTTAGGAACTCCTGACCTTGAGCATCCACCCACCTTGGCCTCCCAGAGTGCAAGGATTACAGGCGTGAGCCACCGCACGCCCAGCCATGTCAATGCATTTTTGGAAGATGGAAGTGGAAGGAAGCATTAGCAGATCAGATCCTGGAAATCAGATTAGATTAGAAAATTGAATGCCAAGAGCCTCCAAAGTAGCTGAGCCATGGCCAGTTAGCGGCACGCAGCCAAAGAAAGGCTCAGGACCTGCAGGCAGTGAGTACTGGGAAGGTGGGCACGTGGCAGAAACAGACAGGAGGACAGGTTCCTGGTCTGTAGAAGGAGCAGTTAAAGTCCCCCAGGTCTCCTCCCTGCCCCAGGCACATATTGCCCTTCTTTCACCCCAGCAGGAGTTTGAGTTGTCAAACTTGGGAACACTTGGTACCACAGAGGTCAAAGAAGGAGTCCTGGAGTAGAAGTGACTATCTGCAGACCAAACAGAGGACCAGCGCCCTCTTCCCCTACTTGACCCTAAGAAGACAGGGTCTGCCAGGCAGGAGACTGGGAGCGTCTTTTCTGGAAAAACCAAATGACCCTGGGAGTAGAGGGCTGTGGTAAGGAAGGAAAACTTCAGGCACTAAATTCAGAGGTCTCCCAACAAAATGTCTCATTCCCAGCTGAGTATCTGGCAGCGAAGTCCCTGAAGTGAAGACAGAGTTTCAATCAGCTTTTGGTACCCAAATAAGACCCGCCAAGGAATATCAGATATTTGAGCAGAGCCCTCTAGCAAGAAAAAGGAAATTACACAACAAACAAACAAAGTAGAAACTCACAGGCAATGCAGGGAGAAGGAAACTTAAAAGATCATAGCCAAGAAAAAAGAACATGACACTTTTTAAAAAATGAATATTCAGGGAACAAAATAGAACACTTGGAAATTAAAATTATAAATTGTTAAATAAAAAACTCAATACAAGTTTAGGATAAATCTCCCAGAAAATAGAACAAAAAATGAAATGGATAATAGTAGGAAAAAAAGATAAGAAAACCAGAAGATCCACCCAGGAGGTCAAAAATCTGACTTATCATGAGTTCCAGAAAGAGAGAACAGAAAGACAGAAGGGAGAAAATCACAAAAGAAATAAAATAAAATTTCCCAGAAGTGAAGAACACAGAGGTGGGAGCCATTTACTCTGCCTGTCAGGGTCCCAGGTGGTGTGCCCACTGTTAGGCTCACCGAGAGCTGGACGTCACATCCCTGAGTGTCCGTCAACGGCTGAGCCCCTATCAGCTCTTCTGGCGGGGACATCTCCCTGCTGATGTATATGAGTTTGCAATCAGCAAAAGCTTTAAAAAGGGCCGGGCGCGGTAGCTCACACCTGTAATGCCAGCACTCTGGGAGGCCGAGGCAGGCAGATTGCTCAAGGTCCGGAGTTCGAAACCAGCCTGAGCGAGACCGGTCTCTACTAAAAGTAGAAAGAAATTAATTGACCAACTAAAAATATATATAGAAAAAATTAGCCGGGCATGGTGGCACATGCCTGTAGTCCCAGCTACTCGGGAGGCTGAGGCAGCAGGATGGCTTGAGCCCAGGAGTTTGAGGTTGCTGTGAGCTAGGCTGATGCCACGGCACTCACTCTAGCCTGGGCAACAAAGTGAGACTCTGTCTCAAAAAAAAAAACTTTAAGAAGTTTTGACCCATGCTGCTGCTAAGCCACAAACCCCAGACTTTGCCCCCTTACAGGCTGGTCCACTGTTTTCTCAGTCTATGGAGAGCTCCTGAGAGCTCAACCCTGTTGTTCCTCCTGGCCTGCCCTCAGCCAGCACCAGCAGCAGCAGCCCCCAGAGACACTAATCCAATCATGACAGAACAAGGTCAAGGGCAGAGACCTTCTACAAGGTCCACAGGCTGGGGGTGCGTTGGGGAAGGTAGGGGGTGAGAAATAACCAAGAACAAACATTTTCCAAGTAGGGTCTTCCACTGGTTATAAATATGCTGACAACATCCCCAAGTGGTCCTAAGATTCCATCAAAGGCCTCACCTAAATCCAAAAATATTTGTCTATATCCAAAACATACAATAAAGTCGGTATGCTTTGTTCCTAGTGAGCAAGCCCAATCCAGCTTTTCTCAACACTCGTAAGCCTCAGCCGCAGTAACTGTGGAGCCCACCTCCTTCACCTTTTGCATAAATGGATGTTAGCCATCTCCAGCCCCTGGCCCCTCTGTTGCTTCTTACGCTTCCTGTAGGTCACCAGCCACAGCCCTGTGACCTCAGCACCCCAGGTCAGGAGATGACTTGCCTAACTTGGGTTCAGGTCCTTCCCAACACTGCAAGCTCAAAAGCGAAGATGAAGCAAAATGAGACTCAAGAACTCCCTCCCACTTCCTTCTGTCCACTGCTAGTGTCACACCGCTGGCCTCCAGGCACTGTTACACTGTTCTTCCAAATATGTGTGGTGGCTCTCCTGGTCAACCTGAGATTCACCGTCAGCTGCAGCTCTCTCTGGCGGCCTCTGGACCACACTCTCCTTCATCTCTGGTTACACATCCTCCTCTCCAACTCCTCCAACAGGGGCCTTCCCAGGTGGCCAAGCCAGTCTCTGTTCCTATGCCACCTTCTTTTCCCCATGGGACCGCCATCTTTCATGTCTAAGAGATTCCCAACCATCCTGGACCATCTGCTACTGAAGAATGCCCCAGGTTCATCCCTCTCTATTCTGACATTTGGGAAGCTGCCTCCTAAAGATTTAGAACCCACACTCTGCCCAGCTCCCACCACCTGCCATTGTCAAAGGGGAGGACCACACCTAGTGCCAGCCTTCAGAAACATGCCCAAATTGGTGACACCCTGCTCAGGGGCTCCCTCTTCCTCCTCAGCCCCACCCTTTCTTCTCTCCCTACACCCGCCTCAAGGTCTCAGAGCCTTCACACTGCCTCCTACCCCCCTGGCCCCTGGGGAGCCCCAACCAGGGG